TATATGCATGAATTAATTCATCCCTTAATTGTTATGGACGTGCTTAGCATTTTTTAAAGAGAAAAATAACTATGTTACAAGAAAAATGTGCGTGTTTGGTAGTGAATTTGACTCATGTACAAAAAAAATGAGTAACTTGTATGGTTGTTTGCCTCAAGAAATATAAATTTATTTTTACTTTGGTTTATTCGGTTAACCATTCGTTTTTCCGGTATATATTATAAAAAACGAAAGTTCAAAACGGTATGAAAAACTCATATCATACCAAAACCAAAAACCATAAAATAAGTTCGGTTCTGTTTAATCGGTATGGTTTTTCAGTTTGGTTTGAAAATGCACAGAGTGACCCGCAGCACGCGTTGTGGTCACGGAAGCAGGCACGTGTGTTGACTCGTGAGCCAGCCCGACTCCCTTCCCCATCAGTCGCGGTTGCGGTCGCCGTGTGCCGGAGAGGACTCGCCTCGGTACTACTCCCTCCGTTCCTAAATATTTGTCTTTTTAGACATTTCAAATAAACTACCACATACGGATGTATATAGACATATTTTAGAGTGTAGATTCACTCATTTTGCTCCGTACATAGTCACTTGTTCAAATTTCTAGAAAGACAAATATTTAGGAACGAAGGGAGTATAAACCTTCTCTTGCCCGCCTCCTATACAGCTTCTGCCACCACCGCTTTCCCGCCCCCCCTCTGCCTGCACACGCCGGACAGGGGCCTACATGGATCTCAAGGCGGCGGCTCCTCCTCGGCCCCACGACGGCTCCCCGGCGACCGCCCCACCACCGCCGGCCGACAGAGAGACCGACGTGAGTGCGCGGGGAAAAACCCCACCCTCTCAATCTTACAGCTCTGCTTAGCTTTTGTTTTAGAGTACATGTGTTCTCTAGCTGAATGATTTGTAGTTTGCGCGAGCTCTCGCCTCGTGTTGGTGTGGGATTCTCGCCGGAAAGCTTCGGCCGAGAACGAGAGGTCTACTTTAGTGCTACTCCCTCCGTTTTTATTTACTCTGCATATTAGAGTTGACTGAAGTCAAACTTCGTAAAGTTTGACTAAGTTTATAGAAAACAATATAAATATTTATCATAACAAATATATATAATGTTAAAGTACATTCAATAATAAATATAATGGTATTGATTTGTTATTGTATACGTTTATTTTCGTTTATAAATTTGATCAAAGTTTACAATGCTTGACTTTGACCAAAGCTAATATGCGGAATAAATAAAAAACGGATGGAGTACAATCTGTAGGCTTATTAAAACAATTCTTTAACGAGAGCATCTATTTGGTTACTGTATGTGCATGCGCACAGTAGCCGAGCATGCTCGGGAATGCTCGGGAGACCCGAGCGGCGGGGAATCGATCGACTTGTTCGTCCACGGAAGTTCTGGTGCAGCCTCAGTTCTGGAGATGCTGCGCTTGATTCCTGCGACGACGGCGATGGCGCCGCATGTCAAAATTCCAGCGTCAAGCCTGGGATTGGCTTCCGCCGCGGTGGCGATTTCTGCACGGGGTTGGTAGCACTGCGCTCCGCGAGTGCGCGTGCGCGTGTGCCCCAGTTTCCAAACTCTGTGTTGTTCTTTTCCCCATATCCTTTTTTTCTGCGGTAGTGACAGCTGATATGAAATAATTCTGTCATCAAGCGATGAGCAGAGTTGATTTCTCTTTTGTTTTGTCTGCTACTTTCCGCTGCCGCTGGTCAGTGAGATTTGCAGTCACGCAATAGCCTCGTTTGTCTTCTTTTTTCCGTCGAAGGAAGCTTTTTGTCTTTGCCTGGGCCAATAATGAATCACTGGGATATTCTCCTTTCTTGCTTCCATAACTTCTGGATGATATTTAACATAAAAGGCATGCTGAATGCATTAGAGAGCACTTTTAGTTTTTAGTTTGGAGTTTGTATCTTCAGTTGGAAGACTTGAGCATCTCTGACTGAAAAGTGTTACTACTATTCCTTCACTGTGAAACGTGGTGGCTGAGATGGATCCCTCATAAGCAACGGATAAAGGATATTAGTCTGCATTGACCAGATTCCCTCTTTATTTCATTTGGAAATGTATCTAGCCATTTTCCCTCTTTATTTAGACGGGACTGGTTGTTTGGTTTTCTAATCTATCCATTCAATAAAATATTAAGAGAAAGAGAGAACTAGGTTTGGTGATTGGGGGCGACTTTTTTGATGATGTCACAAGGGATTACATCACAGGGACTCAGATTCGATGGTGATGCCACACCAAAGTGGACGAAGAGAATGAAACAAGTCCTTGGTGTTCACATTTGTCGTAAGCCCCACAAAATTCCACATCATTACTTGTTGGGGATGGGATCTGTGAAATTATCAGCATAATTGATTTCAAGCAATGATAATGGTCCTACTTTGGGGCTTTGGGCCTTGCTTGACTCCATTGACTCACTGTGCATATAAATGACCAATTGCTTTGTATGATCAGTTTGGTGCATCCCTCATTTTTAGAGTACTGAATCTCTTATGTGTAGCCCAAAGCTCATACAAATGACTTCCCTCAACTGTGAGCAGGTTGGCAATGTTGGCAAGAATATATTCCCTGCGTACAAGACTCTTGGTGTGGTTTTTGGTGGCCTCGTTACTTCTCCTCTCTATGTTTATCCCTCAATGAACTTGTCATCTCCTACAGAGGCTGACTACCTGGGAATATACAGCATAATGTTTTGGACTCTTACTTTAATTGGTGTGGTCAAGTATGTAGGCATAGCTCTCAATGCTGATGACCATGGTGAAGGTAAAGTTTCCACCTTTCCTTTCCTTTGAGCGGTTATTGCTGCCTTTCTAGATGATTGTTGAAATTGCTAATAGCTTGGACAACGTTAGTTGATGATTTTTTATTTGAAAACAAACAAAAAAAATCAGTACAAACAGATTTCTTGATCAAATATTTGGGTACTTGTGGCGTTGCATATCTGTTTAGATCAATTTATTTTCTAGTCTGTTATCTTCAATACTTTAGTATGAACCAAGCAATTTACATACTATGGTCTATGAATATGTGTTCAGCTTGGAAAATGTCAATGAACCTTAAGCCTGTAGAGCTGTAACTTTTGTTTTTAAACTCTTAATACAAGCTTCTTTTGCTGGTTAAATCATTTTTTACTTTATACTGTTACTCGTCTGGAGTGTTGCTTAGTCTACTTTCTGGTTTCTGCAGGTGGTACATTTGCAATGTATTCTGTGTTGTGTAGGCATGCCGATATAGGCATCCTTCCTTCCAAGAGAGGGTATTCAGAAGAAGAACCATTGCTTCATGAGCAGTCAGCAACAGCTATAAGGTCTAGTAAGCTGGGCAAGTTCTTTGAGCGAAGCATAACTGCAAGAAGGGTATTGTTATTCATGGCAATTCTTGGGATGTGCATGCTCATTGGAGATGGAATCCTAACTCCTGCTATTTCAGGTTTGTTGTTTGCAGATGGCATATCTAAATTAATCATTTTTGTGATCATATATATAACTAACATGTTGTTTATGTCATTTCAGTGTTATCAGCAATTGATGGACTAAGAGGACCGTTTCCTTCTGTTAGTAAACGTAGGTAGCTCAATAGGTGTTGATTAGTAACGAACATAATCTCTCTGATAACCCTTTGAGATGACATTGATCTTTCGTCTAATATTCCAGCTGTTGTGGAAGCTCTATCTGCAGCAATTCTTATTGGTGTATTCTTGCTGCAAAAGTATGGGACTTCAAAAGTGAGCTTTCTGTTTTCTCCAATCATGGCAGCATGGACTTTCAACACTCCAATCGTTGGAATATACAGCATTATTCGTTACTACCCAGGCATCTTCAAAGCCATTTCGCCACATTATATTGTCCATTTCTTCCTAAGAAATAAAAAACAAGGGTGGCAGCTGCTTGGTGGGACCGTTCTATGTATCACAGGTGCAGAAGCTATGTTTGCAGATCTTGGCCACTTCAGCAAAAAAGCTATTCAGGTTATTATCATTAACAAATACCAGCATGAATTATTCTTGTGAATGTTTTCCATGTATAGCTACTTACACTTTATTTGATTTCAGATAGCATTTCTATCAAGCATATATCCTTCTCTGGTCCTCACTTATGTCGGGAAAACAGCATACCTTATTAACAATGTCAATGACTTCAGTGATGGATTCTACAAATTTATCCCTCGGCCAGTTTACTGGTCGATGTTTGTCATTGCAACACTGGCAGCAATTGTTGCAAGCAAATCCTTAATCTCGGCAACATTTTCTGTCATCAAGCAATCAGTTGTCCTGGACTACTTTCCACGTGTTAAAGTGGTGCACACATCAGATCAAAAGGAAGGGGAGGTTTACTCACCAAAATTAATTACATTCTGATGGTACTATGTGTTGGTGTTATACTAGGCTTTGGATGTGGAAAGGAGATAGGGAATGCTTTTGGTAAGTAAATTTGACGAAACAAATGCTTCAGTTGTTGATATATAGCTCCTTTGTGCCTGAAGACTCAATGCATAATTGATATTTTTACTGCAGGTGTTGTTGTCATCATGGTCATGCTCATAACTACAATCATGCTCACTCTTGTGATGATCATCATATGGAGAACACCACCTGTTTTTGTCGGGATGTTTTTCATTCCATTCGTCATTATGGAAGGGTCCTATGTCAGTGCCGTTTTCACCAAGATCCCTGAAGGTGGTTGGCTTCCTTTTGCAGTTTCCATGATCCTTGCGTTGATCATGTTCGTCTGGTACTATGGTAGGCAAAGAAAAATAGAGTATGAAATGGCGAACAAGATAACCCTGGAGCGCCTTGGTGAGCTCTTGGCAATGCCTGAGGTCCAGAGGGTCCCGGGCTTGTGCTTCTTCTACAACAACATACAGGACGGGCTAACTCCTATACTTGGCCATTACATCAAGAACATGAGCTCACTACATACGGTCACAATTTTTGTGACCCTGAGGTACCTGCTGGTTTCCAAAGTTGATCAACGGGAAAGGATTCTGATCAAGAGGCTCAGACCTAGAGGGGTGTACCAATGCACAATCCAGTATGGCTACGCTGACAACCTTGATAGGCCTTAGATCGTAGAAGGCTAGTAGATCTGGTAACCTACCTACTCCTGGTGCGGATGAACTCGATCCAGCGCCGGCCATGGTGGTGTGGTGATGGCGGCGACGTGGACAGAGATGGTGGCGGCGGTGTGCTTCCCGTGAGCACCGCGCTTACCCTAAATCGGTAGGGAGTGTTCGATGGGGTTTGTGGCAGCGATCAACCTCGTGAGTCATGCCCCGGCCCCCACCTTTGTTATATAGCACGGGTCATAGGGGGCCACCAACCATGGTTTGGTTGGGCGCCCCCGATCAGGGCGCGAGTCAGGGGCCTGTCGAGCCGTTAGGCTCGATCGGGAGGAGATCAACCTAATATTCTCCCCCTTGATCTCAACTTTACTTTTAACCTTATACTTTCTATTTTATTTGTTTCATCACATATTGGTACATAGATCATGTTTCATCGTCACAGATCAATTGCCGATAGAATCATTCAGCTACAACATACGTTTTGTTCAGAAACAAATTCTGTTTCTTTTGGGTCTATCCAGGAATCATAAGGCTTTCCCTTAAACCCATGCCGACTAAGTGTTCCTTGAACACATTGGGTGGTAAGCCTTTCGTTAGCGGATCCGCAAGCATATCTTTTGTCTTTATATGCTCGAGAGTAATAGTTTGATCCTGGATTTTATCTTTCACAACATAATACTTTATCTCTATTATTTTGGCAGCATTACTCGACTTGTTGTTGTGAGCATAAAATACCGCGGGCTGATTGTCGCAGTACATCTTTAGTGGTTTGTGAATACAATCTACCACTTTCACGTCGGGTACAAATTTCTTTAGCCATATCGCCTGCCCCGTGGCTTCGAAGCATGCTATGAATTCTGCATACATCGTGGATGATGGAACTATCGACTGTTTGGAGCTTTTCCATGAAATAGCTCCCCCAGCGAGGGAGAATACGTATCCTGACGTGGATTTTCTATCATCTTTGTCCCCCGCAAAATCTGCGTCCGAATACCCTTTTATCTCTAGGGAATCAGATCTCCTGTATGTTAGCATGTAGTCCTTCGTGCCTTGCGCATCATGCAATGCTTTCTTTACCATCTTCCAGTGCTCTATGCCTGGATTCTCTTGATATCTACCGAGTACCCCGGTGATAAAGGCTAAGTCAGGGCGAGTGCACACTTGTGCATACTGTAAGCTGCCAACTGCCGAAGCATATATGGTACTCCTTTCATTTGATCGATCTCGTACTGGTTCATGGGACATTGGAATTTCCCAAAACTATTGCCCTTAACTGTAGGAGCAGGTGTGGCTTTACTCGCATGCATATTATACTTTTTAAGAACCTTTTCTAAATATGCTTTCTGCGATAGTCCTAAGACTCCATTGTTTCTATCTCGGTGAATTTCTATACCCAAAACATATGATGCTTCACCAAGATCTGTTATGTCAAAATTCGAGGATAAGAACTTCTTTGTTTCTTGTAGTAGACTAACATCACTGCTAGCAAGCAGAATGTCATCCACATACAAGATTAGGAAAATATATTTTCCATTTTTAAACTTTGCATAAATGCAGTTATCCTCAATATTTTCTTTAAATCCAAAACTTTTAGTCGTTTGATTAAACTTTAAATACCACTGTCTAGAGGCTTGCTTTAATCCATAAATGGATTTCTTCAGGCGACATCCCATATTTTCCTTGCCTTCCATGATAAAACCCTTGGGTTGTTTCATGTAGACATTTTCCTTTAAATCTTCATTGAGAAATGTCGTCTTTACATCCATTTGATGTAACTCTAAATCAAAATGAGCAACTAATGCCATTATGATTCTGAAGGAATCCTTACATGAGACTGGAGAAAATGTCTCATTTTAATCTATCCCTTCTCTTTGTGTAAATCCTTTTGCCACGAGTCGTGCTTTATACTTTTCTACATTCCCTTTAGAGTACTTAATTTTGTAGACCCATTTGCAGCCTACTGTCTTGGCTCCTTTAGGAATTTCCTCTAAGTCCCAAACATCCTTGGAACTCATCGATTTCATCTCGTCTTCCATTGCCTTCATCCACATCGATGAATGAGGGCTTCTGATGGCTTCTTCATATGAGGTGGGATCTTTTTCCATATGAATCATTTATGTGTTATAAATTTTAAAGTCAGTAGAAATAGCTGACTTTCTTGGTCTTGTAGACCTTTTAAGGGCCTCAGTTTCTGGCACATTATGTGTCTCAACTTCTGGCACTTCTTCTAAAATTTGTTGTTGCACCTCCCTTTCATGCTCAACAATGGGTTCAGTCAGCTCCTGACGGACAGGTTCCGGGTCTACCCCCATAGTTGTCATGGGTGGAGTTGCAACTGGTAGTGAGAAAAATGGCTCCTGAATCATCGGATTAGATGCATGCACCCTCTTCTCCTCAAGATCAATTTTCCGAGCTACCAAGCTCCCCCTCATCATTTCGTCCTCTAAGAATACTGCATGTCTCGTTTCTACAAACTTTGTATATCTGTCTGGGCAGTAGAAGCGAAAACCCTTTGATCTGTCTGGATAGCCAATGAAGTGGCAACTCACTGTTTTGGGATCTAACTTTGCAATGTTTGGATTAACCATTTTGGCCTCAGCAGGGCACCCCCAGACCCTAAAGTGTTGTAGGGAAGGCACCCTTCCTGTCCATAGCTCGTACGATGTTTTGGGCACCGACTTGCTTGGTAATCTATTGAGAATGTGAATGGCGGCTTTAAGTGCCTCCATCCGTAATCCCAATGGCAAGTTGGAATAACTCATCATGCTGTGCACCATATCCATAAGTGTACGGTTGCGCCTTTCAGCTACTCCATTTTGCTGAGGCTCGCTCGGCATTGAATACTGGGCTACTATGCCAGTCTCCTGCAAGAACTTTGCAAAAGGTCCAGGGACTTGGCTGTGACGCCCGGATAATCATGTTATAGTAATCTCACATTAATGATGGCACGTCACCTCTTTCACTGTAATTAATCTCGGGTTAATTCAAAACCGTTTCAAATTTAAATCCTAAATAAGTCAAACGACAAAAGTTTTCAAATATTAAAATAAAACTGTTCGGGCTATGTCAATTATTGCATCGGTAAATATGGTGAAGTAAACACAATTTTATAAAACGCCTAAATACTTTTAAATGAATTAAAACAGAAAAGAAATAAGGAAAGAAAATACAAAGGAAAAGAATAAAAATAGAAAACCAAACTACAAAATACAAATAAAAAGAGTAGAGGCCCCCTGGCCAACTGGGCCAGGCGGCCCAGCTGGCCGACCCGCTGGCCCACTCGGCCGGCCCAGTCGCCTGGCCTATATGGCCTAACCCCCACACCCCAAACCCTAACTACCCCCATGACCCACCCCACATTCTCCCCCGATCCCCCACTCTCTCCTCGCGCCCCCTCCTCTCGGTCCCGATCTGGATCGGGGGCAGGCGACCCCGTCGCCCCGCTTCTACCTCACCGACGCCGCCTCCTCGTCCTCCTCCCAGCCGGAAACGCCCCGAGCCCGGAGCCGCTCGACCCCGACGCCAGCACCTCCCCCAAACGACG